GTTGTACACCATGGTCATGTTGCAGACACCGTGTCCGAGCTCGGCGATCGGAAGACACCCCGTGCAGTACGCCTTGGAGTAGATGCGGTAGTAGCCGACCATTAAGCTCTGCGGCGATGATACATTGAGCAGCGGCACTTGCTCCGAGAGGCGCAAGTCGATCTGAATGCGTGTTGGTGAGTACCCAATGTCCTCGAGCTGCTTGTGGCCCATGGACGCGTTGGCGAGGTTGACGGTCGTGTCATCTGTGAAGACGTGCGTGAAGGCGTTGCCGCGTAGAAAGCTGATGGCGTCAACCGCGACACCGAAACTTGGCTTGGCGACGCTCAAGTCTGCGGCGTACGTGCGCTGGAAGATCGCGCAGAGGTTCATGCCCGCATTCACTGCGTACGTGCCGGCCGAGAGCACATATATGTTGGGGTTGTTGGGCTGGACGAGGTTGGTGATGGTGTAGTTGTTCATGCGCTTGGCGACCTTGGAGAGGTCGTTGAGGCTCGCTCCACTCGCAAAGCTGTACTGCGAGAGGAGGTCGTTGGCGCTGCTGGTGTCTGCGATCGGGGTTAGAAACTGGTAGCCATTTCCGATGTAGTCGTTGATGGCCCAGTTGTTGGCGACCGAGTCGATGCAGACAAGGCCGACGACGCAGAGACCGACGGCGATCGCGAGGTACTCTTGGACTTTCCGAGCCCTCGCCCAGAGGTGCGCGTACGGGTCGGGCTTGGACTGCGCCAGGTCGGCGGAGTACGAAGCCCCGCGCGGCTTGACGACCACCGACATTGCTGGCTTTTCTAGGATATCGGACACTGAGCATTTATAGCGCGCAGCGTATATATAGTGGGCGAACCGTAACGGGTTGGTGGCAACGACAACGGTGTTTAATTCGTCCGCCTCTAGTCTGTACTAGACCGTGGTGTTGATCCAAGCCTTTTTCAAGTGTGCTCACGCGCCTGCCGCCTAGTTTCAATATCTCGACCGCCTAGCGTTGATAGTGGTTAGTTATCACATAAAATTCTTGGCTATACACAGCTGCTCGGGACCGTCTGCGGTAAAATCAAAATCCAACCTCAACAAATTGTACAAAACAGAGGGAATCTTTGGAACGGGCGATTTCATTAAATACTTCGCTAGAGTCCCACGGGCCCATACATCGCCACGAGGGAGTCAAAATCGCAAAAGCGCTTCACCTCGTTCGACGCTCGAGTTTGATAAGAGACAACTCGATTGACCGCCAGCCATTTGGGAGGAGAACGCTAAATGCAAAATGCCTATTTGTAGCCGACTGTCGACGCATCGCATCTACGTATTTGGAGGGCAGAAATGCCATGCTTCGCTTGGAAGTACTGGCGACCGTTTTACTTTTTTAACATCTTTTGCAAAGTGGCCAAAGGTCACTTTTGTGTTGACCCTTGAAGCGGCGAACGGGC